ATACTCTATTGACTATTTCACCGTTTAGGTTTAAAATCGCAAAAGTGTTAGATATGTCATGGAGGATTAAAGAGACTTTCAAGATGGGTATGTTTCGAGGACCTCCGAAATGCCGAGTTCCACCTCCGTCAAATCAGCTCCTGCACGTGGGGATGTTCATATCAATTTAGGAGAAACGCTAGCATTACATGCATTTTCTAATCAAGCAAAGCATTTTCGGCTAAATAAATACGGCTAAAAAGTCTATTAACTGGCAGTTAACTTCTGACCCCACTGTATGTCATATTCGACTACCTCCCCAGCACTCACCTCACCTTTTTTTCTACCTTCATCTTTGAAACACTCTTCTGTTCCCTCCCCCCCTCTCTACTTTTTTCACTTTGATGTTCCTTCCCCTCTGTAAAACCTGAAGTCAACTAAAGAGCTAATGATAACCATCAAAACGCCTGCCATTTGATATAAATAAATTTTCGCCACTAAGCCATTTCAATTTGGCAGGGTGGAATTCTAAGCAGTTAAATAAATTGATGTAGCAAGACCACGACAAGACACTTACCTCTCCTATCAATACAACGAGTAATCCAAGCTCGTCCAAAGCAAATGTCCACTCGCTCCGCATGCCTCATTACAAATAGTCTTCGATGTGGTTTATGTGACTGTTGTTGTTGGCAGCCTATAGCAACACCGGAATCAAGATTGTAAGCCGAATGGGTGCCACTGCCATTACCACCAAGGAGATTTCCAAAACATTTCGAACCAAATATCGACGCAGAGGAGGATGGGGTAGATGCAGTAGACATTTGGAAGGCCGGCGAAGAACAACCAGAGGAACCCGCTGATGGGGTAGAAAGGGATTTGCGTCGGGAGTTGCGGAAGAGCAATTTGGAGTAAAAGCTGCTGCTACCAAATACATTACTATTGGAGGAAACTACGGCTCCACCTCCTGTGGTGAAAGAATAAGAGGGGGATGTCACACAACCCTCGGGATTTAAAACTCCCAACGCTCCACAGAAGTCGGTAGATGAAAAGGAAGGTGGTATCTAAAAGATTAAATGAATATTGGATGGTACCGGTTTATACTTAACTTGATGAGATTTGTGCTCTCTCTGCAAATTCAAAGTTCTACAAATCCGATCCGACAGGTGAAAATCCAAAGATCGCAATGACCTATCACACTTGAGAATGTTCTTCTGAGTTTTCAATTGTGAAATATATTGCATTTTAAATAATCTTCAAGGTTGAGAGCTCAACACCCGGACAGAAAAGTTGTCACTCTTCATTATTTCACATAGTTAGAATGGATCTTTTTCCCTAAACTTAAATCTAAATAAACAGGAAAAGGGCGTTTTGTATTTCCAAAGAGTCACTTTGTCCTTTCTTTCAACTTTCTTTACATGAGACTGATGAGCAATTCGGCAGATATCAAGGGTAGCCGCTAGTCAATATTCTAAAGCTCAAACTTCAGACACTCTCTCTCTTTCTCTCGTATTATGAGGTGTTCAGAAATGATTAATAAGGAGAATTGGTACATTGGTTCATCCCTCCAACTTGATAAGTAAAGAGTAATTAGTTTAAACAAGACAGAAAGTCCTAACATTGTGCACCAAATGATTCAAAATGTCAGCCTACATATTAAGCGATTCCGAAAGATAATTATATGATCTGATTGATTGAAAAAAAATGATTTAAAAGTAAATTTTGCAAGGGGATTAAGAAACATTTGACCAACTGGTGACTTAAATATTTGCTTGG